TCTTTGAATTCAGAAATAGTTTTACACCCATACAAAACAATTTTGTTACTACTCTGATCTGGTATCCCATTGATTACATAATCAAGAATTGATGAATCATCAACAGAACCGTGACTGGCTATTTCACGCATGGCAATTAAATATTCGGAAAGTGATTCGCCAGGTTTTAAGTGTCGTTTCTGTAACAAATTATGAAGTTGTCCACTGTTTATTTTAGAACCAAATTCAGATAAAAGATTTTTCTTTTAATTTTTTCCATGATATTATACCTTTCAAAGACCTAATAAATACTTTAGCAGAACCATTAAGCAATGTTTTAGCAAACACAATTTTCTGTAATTCCGATAACTTAAATAATTTAAAAGATTCTTCTAAATCACCAATGAAGGATCCAACTGGATATGTATCAGTGCCATTAAATTCAGAAACAGTTTCTAAAATATCACGAAAATGTAAGGAAATATTGCTAGGCATTATAATGCTTTCATTCACTGAGTTATTTATGGGAGGTGATTCTGACCGAACAGAATTCATATCATCATTTTTATCAGAATCATAAACACTTTCGTTTTCAGATAACTCATCATCGTCATCACTTTCGGATTTTAAAAGCTTAAAATCACAAAGACTATTCAATATTAAATCACAGTTTTTATCAGGATTTGAGTCATAATTAAGATTAACAAATTACACACAGAAATAAAATCGTTTGCAGTAAAAGTTTTAAGTAATTTTTGTTTTGTTTCTTCAATATTAAAATCAGATGGAAAACCGCAAAAGTTACGCAATCTAGCTCTATTTTTTCGATCACCCAAAGTTCCAAACACAATTTGATGTAAACGTTTAATTGACTTAGTAGGCCCAGTCTTTAAAGAATTTGAAATTCTAGGAATAGAATTTAAGGTAGTCATCTTAATTCACAATATCATAGAACACTATTCTTAGAAGTAACAATGTGGAAATAATCGAAACAAAACTTACTTCTCTTATTTTGTAATATTCATAATGCTTCTTCCTAGGCTCATACCGGCCTGAGCGCCCAAATCTGTAGAATCTGTACTTACTGTCTAGGAATATGATGTTTGTAAACTTACTTCTGATGTGGCTGTCTAGGGGCTAATAAACTAGTCCGATTTATGTAAAACTTGAATATTTAATGAAACATGAATAGTTGCAACAAACTACAAAGTAATTACATACGTAGAAGGAAATAGATGAATTTACATAGATGATATATACAGATGAAGAGAATCGACTGTCTTTTTCATGTAAACATCTTTCAGTCGCGTCATCGTCTTAATGGCGGAATCGTCTGCCTTCCATCATCGGAAATATAAAAGATTTATTTTCACAGCTTGTCGCGTCATCTGATTATAATGAACGATGCCATCCCACAGTATTATATTTCGTTCATATTATAACTCATAATGCACAAAGTTTATATCATTTAAAGAATAGAATTATCCAATCGTTGGCACCTGTTCTATTCAAATACTATAATAAAGCTAGAATGATGTATAAAAGAAATTTAGCAAACAAAACAAAAAAGAAACACTTTTTCACAGACGATTGAGTATTTCTCATTCAATTAATTCAGTTCTCACTTCGCGAGAAGGCAAAAATACATAAAAACTCAAAATATCTAGATTAAAAATTACGAAGTAAATCTTAAACACTTATTTCCTCGAAAAAATTCCAGAAAGAATTAAGCATGATTTAATTGGCAATAATAAATGAATGCGTTATCTATGTTGTTGCGAAGCTAAGTTTCTCTAGATTGGCAACAAATCCACTAGTCTCCTGTTTCAAATGTAAACATCAGTGGCCGCCATTAAAAAAAGGGTTAGCGGCACTTAAACAACTTTAAAATTGTTGATAATTCTAAAAATATTGCATACAGATTTACTAAAGGCATAAAAACCTTAACCGGATGATAAAAACAACATAATTCAATCATTTTTAAAGCAAAAAGTGCCTAATTTACAAACATATAAGATTAAAGAAACTGAGATTACTGAGCCGAGTAACAGAGTGGATATATATATATATATATATGTGTGTGTGTGTATAAATGTTGTATGATCTTAAATTACTGATCTTAAATTTAAAATTCTCTTTTAAAATAATTCTACTTTAATTAAACTTAGGAGATAATATAATCAATTATATTGTTTAGGAAATAAATTATATATATATATACTTTTGGTGCGGCCGATTGCAACCAAAATACGAGGTGCACATCTACATGCTATAGCAAACCTATATACAAAATTTCAATGTTCTGAGGCTACTCGTTTTTGAGTTATGCGAGATACGTACATACGTACGTACATACATACATACGTACGCACAGACGCCACGAAATTTTCTCTTCAGAAATCAGTTTTATAATTTTTTTGGGGGAAAAGAGTTTTTTATTCTGTCCTTACGTACGGATGTCACGCAAAAGCATCGTTAAATTGCATTCGATGGCGGTCAAAATGGATATTTTCGTTAAAACAGGATGCCTGAAGTATTTCGCGAATACAACACTTCCTTTTTTACTTCGTACAAGGCAGTAAAAAATAGTACATTTTTCTTAGCTATAAAAACTTTAGTCATCCTATGTGATTAATATAATAAAGTCGTGCGGTCGTTCATACAAAAGTTTGTTGGATGTTAACTGGATTTGAAGGAGAAATAGAAATGAGATAAATACTAATCATATTCATTTAAATTTTGTTTTGTTTATTCTAATTTAGAATCCGCTATCATTAGCAGCTCCAGATTTCATTTTAAATTACATATGACAAAAAATATTTTGATAGCTAAAATTTACTTTCCTAAGTGTATTTAATAAAAATTCTGTAATTTAAAAAGTTCTCTAAGTATTTAAAATTATGAAAAAATATAAACCTTTAAAATTTAATTTATTTCTAAAAAAAGAATAAAACTTTATTTATGCCTTAAATTTTAGACTAGAGTATTTCTCTTCCAATTAGGTTCTCTTATATATCTTTAAATAAGGGTATTACCTAATTCTTTAATAACCTTAAGCGCCAATTTCTCAAAAAGTGGAACAAATAAACTGTAGTTTATGAAATTCATTTACGCCAGACTCGGCGTAACGAAAGAACGACTTTTAGATGCGCCAGGTTAAGTTTGGATTATCCTATATAACATGTTAATGATGATGACATGAATAATTGCGTTACTGTCGTGGATTTCCAGTAATCTAAGTGCTTCACAGTTGTACTTCTTAAGCAGCTCAACATAATCACAATGAATCAAATTCAGCAAAATCATAAAGGAAATGGTTATTGACTTAATGCAATTTGTGTGCTCAGCTTATTTGCTTCCAGCGTTAATCTTATTTCACTAACTTATTTACTTATGTTGTTAAGAAATATTTTACTTACGAAGCTGTAACTTATTTTTTCTCTTTCAAAATTCTTTATTTTTTCTAATCTTCTCACTTGTAACGAAATTTCAAGCAATAATGACTTTCATTATAAAAGCCGCGGACTTAAGCATGTAAGCCTCGACTTGCGAATTTTTCCTGAATGAACAAACTAATTGGAAACAGTATATATTGAAACAATTGGAAAAAGTATGTAGAGTCATTAGGTTATTTTTTAAAGCAGGAGTGATGAAAAATGAGCAATGCTCTCGTCGGGACTCGAACCACGGACCTCTGGAATACACGCCCAGCGTGCAGACCACTACACTACGAAAGCATGCTAAGAAGGCGGGAGAAATACCTTATATACTCCCCCTTTTAAAGGGCGACTGGAGTTTTTAGGGGAACCAATCGCCAAATCCTGGGAGTGAAGAATCATCATCCACTACCCTTTTAGTTCGGGCGCCATTGTAGAGCCAAAGCAGGAGTGATGAAAAATGAGCACGCCCTCGCCGGGAATCGAACCATGGACCTCTGGAATACGCGCCCAGCGTGCAGACTAGACACTACGAAAGCGTGCTAAGAAGGCGGGAGAAATGCCTTATAAGTATATATATTGAACCAGGGAAATGGGCTGACTGCATGGACGTTTTCGTGATTTTCTCCATGTGTTGTAACGTGTATACGAGCTTTTCCTTAGATAGTTCTCCACGAAGACATATCGTCCCTTAGGCAGATAGCCCTAGTGCGCCTTGCCATAATCAACTAAAGCAAAAAAAACCTTCGCTTAAGAGGATTTAATACTTCCTTTAATTATTCAACTTTGATAGAAAGAGCTTTTAGTTGAAAACTAAACCTAAACAAGAGTTGCTGTTACACTTCCTCGGCGCTTAAAAACTATAAAATATCGTCTTATTTCCTGAAAAAATATTTTCGCACATACCTATGATTCAAAGAACCAATTCTGAACAAAACTATCAAATGAAATTTTCATTTTTTTAAGCTATAAAGTTCGAAAGTATTAAGCAAAAAATAAAATATATGTATATAAAAGAAATAAAGGACTTCTTTTTTTTTTTTTTTTTTTTTTTTTTTACTTTCTGTTTTTAACCCGCATTACAAAATGAAAATTTATCCGGTAAAGAACGAGACAAATCGACAGGAAATGGGCCCCATTTCCTCCCCTGCTTATCATGGAAATTTGGCGTGTGTAATTTGCATGAGAAGTTTCTGACGAGCGTTTGGTCGAAATGATAGGTAGGCGTCCACTCAGATGGATTGAGGTTATCGAATCTTACCAAGCAGAGAGTGATCTGACAGCAGCTTGCATTAAAGTGGTTATTAGGCAGCAAATCGGAAATATACTCAAATTTTGGAATGAGTTAAATATATCTGTAAATGACTGTCAATTAATTCCCCGAGTATTGCACAAAAATTACGTTTTTATTTATGCTAGTAAATTGCAAATGCCCCGTCTTATCTTGTACGAATATTCAAAATTTAAGTATTGAAAATTTGTAAAAATCAATGCATACAGTTTCTATCAAAGCAATTACAAAACTGACTGATATTTTATCATTATTATTATTGTAGCTACTAATAAATATATTATGTAACAAAATACTTGATTAATGTATAATTTAATTAAAATTTATCGACTTTATAAAAAATACTTACATTTGCCCCGTACAAAGTATAATTCACAGGAATTTTGATTACAGTGCTATTACTTATTAACTATTAAGGAATTTAAGTCAGTGACGTATTTATTGAAATATTTAATTATTTTAATCCCTGTTTTCGAAGTTAAGACAACTAACTCTAACGAAAAGAAAGAGCAGCTGTTTGCAGATAATCCAGGTATAGTTCATTCCTTTGGTTCAACCCTTCGCAGAAGCGATCCTCATTGGGGCAGAAACGCGATCTTCAAGAAGGTTGTGGTTCAGAAGCCATGGATCTTGTAAGAGATTACTTGATTGTTCATTCATGGACTTTTTAATAAATCATGCAGTGCCTCAAGAACAGTAGCCTGAAAAGATAAAAAGGCATACAATTATACAATCGAGTTCACTTTCAGTCATTTATTTACATTTGTTCTGAGTTACATTTTTCAAAATATGCATAAAACGTAATAGCAGATTACGGAATATGTCCAGGCTTAGATAACAGTCTAATTATATTATTTTCTTTTTTATTTCTATCTATCTGTGTATTAGCTAGCAAACAATTAGTTAAATTCATTTTCTGGACTTTAATGTATATTATGTTAAATTTTCCTTTTTCATACTTCTTAATGTTTCGTTTCTTATAAGAATATAAGTTTCGTATAAGAATTATTTCTTATAAGTCTTATAAGAATATATTTTTGTACACTTGTTTTCCCCTCAACTGTTCCTTTTAATTGTTTTAACAAAGTTTGCATTATTTTAATATGATCAAACGCGAACGTGTCGGCGAGGAATTTTCTCCAGTAAGAAAATAAAACTCACTCTTATAAGAATTAATATATTCCGATCTGAAGATTGCATTTAAAGTTTCCACCAATTTTTAGTTTAGAACCACCAATTTTTTCTTAGTGATTTTTAATTAGCTCTTTGAATTATTTTAACTCAATCTCAATAAACAGCTTTTTTAGCCCCGATTCTTGTTGGAGATAAAGACGAAATGTTTTCGCATCTATTAATCATTGTTAATTGATCAGAAATTAGTATGTTCCCTTGAAAAGTCAACTAATTTTCGGTTAGTGATGATAATTACTTAGTCTGTTGCTTGCGCTTTCGCTTTTAATTATTCCATTTTAAATATGCTAATCAGTAAATTCATTTTAACAGAACTCTCACCTACTCTTCTTCGAAGGAGGTAATATATTCAACAATCTACTGGAAAACAAATTATTATTTTATTATTTTGCTAGAACCAAATCCATAAAGTCATGAGAGGAACGAAATTAAAACGCAATAAAATTCAAATTTCCGCATAAATATGCAAAATTCAACTAATATTCCTCAAGAAATTTCATTTCTTTCATGTCTTTGTGGATTTGGTTCTATAAATTTCTTTTGTTGTTGTTGGTCTATTATTGATTAATTTCAGCAGTATTTGAGCGAAAATGGTATTGAGATAATTTGTTTCTGAATAAAAATTTTTGTGATACTATAGACCAGGGTTCCCTAAACTGTTTTCAGTCACTAACCTTTTTTATCACTAAGATTCTGTCGCGACCCCCAGGAGGCCATATTTACTAAAATTTTGTGGGACCCCCATAAGCATTGCGCAAATCCGACACACACGTATGTGAAACTGTCAATTTTTTTCACTTGTATTGTAACATACTCATTAACTTTAATTTCTAATTTTAAGACATAGAACAATGTGAAAATTTTAAATAAGTAACAGACCAAATGACAGTGCAAAGAAAGTAAAATGAAGGCTTCTATTATAAAAAGAATGCATTGAAATGTTTTCCTTTTTTCTTGTCTGTTCCTATTTTCAAATACATGGTGTAAAAATGTTTGGCAATTGTAAAATTATTATAAGTTAAAGAAATATCAAAACTGCTAAATTTTTGGCAACCCCTTGCTGTGGGGGTCGCAACCCACATTTTAAGAAACGCTGCTATAGACATATGTAAGATAAAAAATATGACAGCAAACTTCTAAATTTAATTGGCTATAACCTCTTTTATTTTTCATTTAATTTGTGGACTTATCTCTCTGTGTCTTAAAAATAGCGACATAAGTCTAAACTGCGTCATTCAAATTAACCATGCCATCTTACGTAACGGTTAATGCTGATATCTCTTGACCAATCAAAATAATTGTAAACCAAAACGTTTTGACTCCCTCCCTTCTTCCTCTGCATTACTATTGCGACACTCTTCTCTTCTCGCCTAGGCTTTCATCTTGTTAAGACGCTGCTGCAATCGTCTGTGTTCGCTTCTATCGCTATAGTATCAAAATTGTTCTGGAAATACAAATTCGATTGGTGTGTCAAGTGAATTTTGGCCACAAATGTGAATTGATTAAAAATAAATATGGAATTTAATCCGGCTAGACTGCTTGTTTTGGCCTCCTCGGTGATTGCGACGATTTGTGCCCAGAGGGCGCACCGCACAAAAGGTTAGTTGCGTTACAGAACGTAAGGGAAGCGGACACGCCAAAATGTCGGGCGTATTACCGCTAATCGAGGTAATTGCATCGTATCTGTCAGGTGGCAGAAAACTAGTATGATGTATCAATTCACATGCCAGGTGGCAGAATATGTCTATCATGTACATGCCAGGAGGCATAACGCTTGTAAATATGCCAGGTGGCATACGACTTGTAAATAAATTGTAAATAAATGTACAGTAAAATATCTTGGTGCAATAGATCAAGGAACACGCATCAACAACCTTCTGATCATTTGAATACGTACATTTTTTTTCTGGTGACACCGGACGTGATTTGTGGAGATGAAGAATGGACGAAGAAAATTAGTGAGTTCATGACTGAAAAAGCCAGGATTTAACGCGAAGAAATTCGAGGTAGGCCCTTTTTCATTTTTCCAGTTTTGAATAGAATTGTTGAATAAAAATCTTGGTGATTATTATAGTTGATAGAATCTAATGGTAAAATGGAGCCTATGAATAAGGCAAAGAAGTTGCGTACGGTGACGTGTAACTTAACTACCAAGTTGATGAGTAAAATAGATTCTGCATTGTTAGAAGAGGGTGAAACCGCGGATGAGAAATTAAAAGAATTACTCGAAATGTTACTTGAAAAATCGCAGTTGTTGAAACAATACGATTCTGAGATTGAAAAACTTATAATTACGGAACAGGAGTTAGAAACAGAAGTAATTTCCGCGCAGGAATATCAGGAAAGAATTATAAGTTTTAAATGTAAAATTCAGGAAAAATTAAGAAAAAACGCGTGTTGAATCTAGAAATTCTAGTGAGGAAACTATATCCACGAAGTTGAAAACTTGTGAAGTTAATACTTTAAAATTGCCAAAATTAACGATTACAAAATATTACGGTGATCCTTGTTCTTGGCTTGAATTCTGGAATCAGTTTAGTAATTCCATTCACCAAAAAGAAAGTCTCAGTTCGGTTGACAAGTTTTGTTATTTAAAATCGCTTTTGGGAGGTTTAGCTTTAAATGCTATTAGTGGATTAACATTTACTAGTGAAAACTATAGGGTGGCTGTTGATATACTAAAAAACCGTTCCGGCAGAGATGACCTGCTAATTAATGCGCATATGAATAAATTGTTGAGTTTAGAACCTGTAAAATATTCCGGAAATACGGCTTCTTTGAGGAAGCTTTATGACGATATAGAAATACAAATAAGGAAATTTAAATTCTTTAAATGTTACTAGTGGTTCTTATGGACATTTATTATCCCCTATTTTGTTAAAGTTAATACCCGAGAATTTAACTCTAGAATTCACTAGGAAAAGAAGTGATAAACAAAATTTCGATGTTAATGAACTACTAACGTTCTTGAAAACTGAAGTGGAATGTAGGGAAAACATCAATGATGTTAGCGCGTTCTAAGAAGTTTTGATGTAAATGGAACATCAATACGAAACAAAAGTTCCCATCAAGGTTATCAAAATAAATCTTACATGCATTCTAAAAGAAATGATTACAGTACGAATAAGCAAGGTGCTTCGGTATTAACTAGTCAAAGCGAAACTCCTCTAAACACTTTCAAAAATCACATTTTAATCCAAATCGAAAGTTCTCTACCCCGCCTAAGAAAGAGAATCAAAATGTCTGCATATTTTGTTTATCTGCTTGTCATATGAATCATGATTGCGCACTTGATTTAAAGGCTCGCCGAAAGGCATTAATGGATCGAGGTTTATGTTTTATTTGCTTTTCGAAAGGGCATCCAAGGCGTTTCTGTGCTCATAAAGATGAAAAATGCAGACTGTGCAATGTCCAAGGTTTACATAATTCGTTAATATGTGACGCCGCATCGAAAGATTTAGAGACGGATACTTCCAATTCAGACAAAACAAACGCCAATCCCTGAAGCTTCTCTTTCGCTCTTATGTAATGAAAATAATAACAAATTAAACTACCGACTTCCGTTCTTTTACAGACGTTTTCGGCAGCAGTTAGGTGTAAAGGGGGGAACGAAAAGGTATTACGTTGTATGCTAGATTCAGGGTCAACAAAGTCATTCATCTTACGAGAAGTGGTTGATTCACTGGGGTTGAAAATTATTAATAAAGAAGCGCTTATCATTTTCACATTTGGATGCAAAGATGCAAAAGAGCGCTTGTATGATATCGTAGAAATCGTATTGCAAAATGTAAGCCATCCCAGTAAAAAGATAAAAATTAACGCAATAGTCATTGGTTCTATAACACTAGGGCAAGTAAAAGTTCCTTCTCGGTGGATACGAAAGATGGCGTTTGAGAAGAGAATAGAATTAGCAAATGCTGGTACGAGTGACGAAATTCAAGTATTAATAGGTTCGGATTATATTTGGGAAATTTTAGGAGAACGAAACGTGAAGATTTGTAAAAAATTAGTCGCAACAGAAAGCACTTTCGGTTTTGTGATTCAAGGCAAGGACGAAGGATCAAAGTGTAAGGACGCAAGAGTTAATCATATAACCGTTGTAAATGAGGACTTAGATTATGAAAGAGTTAAAAAATTATGGGAATTAGAAGCAATTGGGATAAGTTCGGATAAAGAAATATCTCTATCAGATAAAGAAATTTTAGAGTCATTTGAACGAAATACAACTTACAAGAATAAAAGGTATGAAACTCGATTATTGTGGAAAGAGGGTGTTGAAGGTTTAAATAACAATTATGAAATCGCGAAACAGCGTTTACAATTTTTAAATAATAAGTTTCAGAAAAATAGCGAGCTATATTTAAAATATAATGAGATAATTAATGAACACTTGAGAGATGGTATAGTGGAACGGGTAGATACGTATTTAAATAGTAGTTTGAAAACGGGGTATTACATGCCTCATCACGCGGTAGTGCGCGAGCAGAAGGATTCTACAAAGGTTCTAATAGTTTTTGACGCTTCTTCTAAAAGTAAGGGAAATTTATCACTTAATGATTGTTTGGAAAGCGGACCTAATTTAAATCCTGATTTGCTAAAGATTATCATTAAACTCAGGGTACATTCAATTGCGTTTTGTGCCGACATTCAGCGTGCATTTTTAGAGGTAGGCTTAGCTAAAGAAGATAGGGATTTTTTAAAGTTTTTGTGGATAAATGAAGAAGGGTCAAATCTCGATCACAGTAATTCCAACTTACAAGTTCTTCAACACAATCGAGTTCCTTTCGGGGTCAAGTGCTCACCTTATTTATTAACAGCTACAGTAAGACTGCATTTAAAAAAGTATGAAGATGCCTACGAAGAGGCATGCAGTATGTTAAAAGAGCTTTACGTAGATGATTTAATTTCTGGGACAGTTAATGTAGCAAAGGCCTTACATTTAAGCAAGGACATGATTTTCATTCTTAGCGAGGCCAGTATGAATTTACGTAGATGGGTTTCAAACTCACCTGAGCTGAATGAACTATGGAAACTTAATGGAATTGACTCTCGTGAAACATCTGAAGACTCTTTGGTACCGTTGAAAGTTTTAGGTCTTATCTGGGACAATGTCAATGATAATTTGAAAATAGATGTATCTCAGTTTGAGAAGTTACAAAATCTCAAAGTAACTAAACGCATCATTTTAGCAGCATGTGGTATGCTCTTTGATCCCTTAGGAATTATGAATCCATTTACTGTTCGAATTAAACTCTTAATGCAAACTATGTGGGAAAAGGGTATTCAATGGGACGAAAGTGTTTCCCCTTGATACAGAATTCATATTTCAGGAATGGTTAAAAGAAGTTGAAAAAATAAAGTTTTTCGAAATTCCCAGACAGTATTTCAGTGATATGTTGTTGGAAGTTTAATAGAAGTTCACATATTTTCTGATGCCAGTCCCAAGTGTTATGGTGCCGTAGCATATTTTAGATTTAAGAAGAAAAATAAATGTAAAACAAGTTTCATAGTGTCGAAATCCCGTTTGGCTCCATTAAAAAGGGTAACACTCCCTAGGCTTGAACTTTTGGGAACATTAATTTCTGCAAGATTAGGTTCGTATTTGCAATAGATCGATATTTCCGCAGTTGGATAAGGGAAATATATTTTACTGGACTGATTCCCAAATTTGCATTCACTGGATCAAGGGATCTGCCAACGAGGTGAAAACAATTTGTTAGAAATCGTGTGGTAGAAATCAAGGAGAAACAAATTTTAAACAACTGGTACTTTTGCAGTGGGAAGACAAACCCTGCTGATAAACTTACGAGGGGAATGATGCTGAAGCTCTAATTAATGATAGTGATTGAGTTTTCTGGGCCACCCTGGCTTTCAGAAGTAGATATTCGACATCACATAAACGAAATGAATACCGAAGCTGACTTGCAAAACGTTAGTGAAGAACGAAAATGTGTTACTTTGAAAACACTTGTGGAGTCTACAGAACCGTTGCTAAATCTTAAACTGTACGGAAATTTAACCAAAGTACTGGGAATAATGGCTTATGTTCTGCGCTTCGTGAACAACTGTAAATCCGCTCGTGAAAAGCAATCTGGAATGCTTACCGCCTATGAGTTACGGAAGGCTTCAGAATTTCAAAGGTGGTTAGCAAATGAAAACATAAGGTGGATATTCAACCCGCCAGCTGCTCCACATCATGGCGGTATATGGGAGGCAGCTGTTAGATCTATGAAGCTGCATCTAAAGAAATGTGTTGGAAACTCAAATTTTGACTTATGAAGAGTTTCTAACTCTAATTGCACAAATTGAAGCATGTTTAAATTTCGAAAGGCCAATAACACTGGTCTCCAGTGATCCCAATGATTTGACAGCTTTGACTCCTGGACACTTTATTATAGGGACTTCTTTAACAGCTGTTCCGGAACAAGTATACAAGTAACCAAAAGTACGAGTGTCTCCATTGCAAGAGATGGCAACTAACACAGCAGATGTTCCAAGGGTTTTGGAAGCGGTGGTCTAAAGAGTACCTGTGCCAACTACAGCAGCGTAGCAAACGGAGACAGCCTAGCAGAAATATTCGTCTAAATGACTTGGTTCTCATTAAAGAAGATAACATGCCTTTGCATTACGTTGGAAACTCGGGCGAGTAATAGAGGTGTTTCCTGGAAGAGACAATAATGTTCGAGTGGTTAGACTAAAAACTGTGCACGGGGACATTAAACGTCCTATTACCAAACTGTGTCTTTTACCAGTTGAAGAACATTAACTTAAGTGTTTGGTTTATATTGAATATGTTTTATTATTATTTTCATTTCTTATTGTACTAATAATTTTATTTGTTTGTTCTAGTTTAACCCTCATAGTTAACGTTTCAATATAGTAAGATATAAGATGTTTTTGCTAGAAGATTGGTAAGTGTAATATGTAATTTTATACTTTTTGAAGGTTCTTGTAAGTTTTCATTTTCTATATTTTTCATTTACTTGTTTGCATATATTGAAGATTGTATTAAGATGAATGTAATTCATCGGGGGGGGATGTTTTGGCCTCCTTGGTGATTGCGGTGATTTGTGCCCAGAGGGCGCACCGCACAAAAGGTTAGTTGCGTTACAGAACGTAAGGGAAGCGGACACGCCAAAATGTCGGGCGTATTACCGCTAATCGAGGTAATTGCATCGTATCTGTCAGGTGGCAGAAAACTAGTATGATGTATCAATTCACATGCCAGGTGGCAGAATATGTCTATCATGTACATGCCAGGAGGCATAACGCTTGTAAATATGCCAGGTGGCATACGACTTGTAAATAAATTGTAAATAAATGTACAGTAAAATATCTTGGTGCAATAGATCAAGGAACACGCATCAACAACCTTCTGATCATTTGGATACGTACACTGCTTCTTCTTCAAAATGGATGGACGCTCTAAGCATCAAGTATCTACTCTAAACAACATTGCTACGCTTCTACATCTCAGTGGTCTTACTTCAGTGCTTCCAAAATTGTGCTTTTATCACATACATATATATATATATATATAGAAAAATGCACAAAAATTAAAGATTTCATACCTTTACAGTCGATGATGCATCATCACTGAAATTTTTCTCTGTTAGTAATTCAACTAACGACTGCAAGTTATGAACTTTTTGGATTAAACGCGTATTTCTTCTTTGGAGACATCTTATCTTCTTCTGCTTCTCTTTGATTTTTGCAGTAGCAAGAGTGAAAAACTTCTTCATTTTTGTAGGGGAATTCATATCATCCGAAGAAAAATCACCAATATATGTTTTTCGATCGAGAGATTTTTTTGACGCATCAGGAGAATCGCTCGTACTCGCACATTCGCTGTTACTCTCACAGTCACTGGTACCTTGTTGGGAAATCAGGTCTATCGTACACATTGGGGGAAAACTTTTAAAAAAAAATTATATTCAATAAACATAAGTGAAAAAAGTTGTATTATAAAAAATTAGGTTACTTAATTTTCGTAATACTTAAAATCATTACGATTAATTTAAACAGGCGAAAAATATTAATCAATATAACAGTAATTCTTTTGAGAACAGCATATTACCTGTCAGTTAAAGTATTCGTCGTGATTTCTCTGTTTGCAGGTTCTTTTCTGCTTTTGATTGTTGTCTGAACAACGTGTCTTGGAAAATCAAAAATGGGTGTAACAGCACTTTTTTTTAAAATTCTGTATCTTGGTCCTGCTTTTTTACATTCGCTGGTACTCGCACATTCGCTGGTACTCGCACATTCGCTGGTACTCTCACATTTAATGGTACTCGCACATTTAATGGTACTCGCACATTCGCTGGTACTCGCACATTTACTGGTACTCGCACATTCACTGGTACCTTGTTGGGAAATCAGGTCTATCGTACACATTGGGGGAAAACTTTAAAAAAAAATTTATATGCAATAAACATAAGTGAAAAAAGTTGTATTATAAAAAATTAGGTTAATTAATTTTCGTAATACTTAAAATCATTACGATTAATTTAAATAGGCGAAAAATATTAATCAATATAACAGTAATTCTTTTGAGAACAGCATATTACCTGTCAGTTAAAGTATTCGTCGTGATTTCTCTGTTTGCAGGTTCTTTTCTGCTTTTGATTGTTGTCTGAACAACGTGTCTTGGAAAATCAAAAATGGGTGTAACAGCACTTTTTTTTAAAATTCTGTATCTTGGTCCTGCTTTTTTACATTCGCTGGTACTCGCACATTCGCTGGTACTCTCACATTTAATGGTACTCGCACATTCGCTGGTACTCGCACATTCGCTGGTACTCTCACATTTAATGGTACTCGCACATTCGCTGGTACTCGCACATTCACTGGTACCTTGTTGGGAAATCAGGTCTATCGTACACATTGGGGAACAACTTTAAAAAAAAATTTATATGCAATAAACATATGTGAAAAAAGTTGTATTATAAAAAATTAGGTTAATTAATTTTCGTAATACTTAAAATCATTACGATTAATTTAAATAGGCGAAAAATATTAATCAATATAACAGTAATTCTTTTAAGAACAGCATATTACCTGTCAGTTAAAGTATTCGTCGTGATTTCTCTGTTTGCAGGTTCTTTTTTGCTTTTTTTTGTTGTCTGAACAATGTGGCTTGGAAAATCAAAAATGGATGGAACAGCACTTTTTTTTAAAATTCTGTATCTTGGTCCTGCTTTTTCAAATGCATCTTCTGAAAAATGTTTTGAACATAGCTTCGAATACTTTGTAGGCGTAAAATTTTTTCTTCGTACAGCCTTAATCCATAAAGAGCGCAGTTGTGGGTTATCGGGAAATCTAGGGACAACAACAACAACCAACAAAAAAAAAAAAAAAAAAAAAAAGATAATTGATTATATATATACATATTTCGTTCTTAAATATTCTTATTTTTGATCAATTATAATGCTTAAAATTAAATTCATCTATAATTTTAAAAAATCTGATGTGTACACCACATGACTTCCTTGTACGTGTTAGCTTTAATCTCCGTTATTAATCTCGGGACGGCTAGGGTAAGTTGGGCTTTCACTTTTCATTCAATCGGTATAACTCTTGCATTATATAAATGCTTTATTATTACAGTAAATATATACATATCATTATGAAACATTCTTAACCTTAATCACATTCACTCGCTTCCCGATTCTTGATTGCTCATCGTGCGCCCCCTATCGACGGCTTCCCTACAATGCCATCTATCGGCTGATAACATTCGGTCATTCTGAACTGACAATCGTCCCGATTGTTCGGAGTACAAATCAATTTTATAATTAATAAATTTTTCTACTTCAACTCTTATACACAATACCTAACATACTGTTACGTAATTTTTTTCTGGCACCAGTTGTTACGTTATATCCTTCCTTCACGTTGGTACGGGGATCGTAGATTTGGAGTGAATAACGACGACACTTGATAAGTATCGAAACACACTTTATTAGTCAGTATTGTCAGGACAGCTCCAAAATACGTTTTACAGTCGTCGACGAACTACTATAAACACGCTGGAACAATCAGCGACACAGCCTTCACGATGTCAGGCAATACCGGTGCAGCTTCCTGCAAAGCACCAGAGTACAGCTCCTGACTCTGCTTGGTCTTTCTCGGAACTCCACATACTCTCGAGACTCTCCACGCTACAACTCGCGATGCACTCGACGACACACGAGCACAGCTCCAACTCTTCGGTTCAGTCGTTCCCGGAGCTCAACACACTCTCTCGATGATGCACTAACCGCGATACACTAAGAGACTCCTTCGGTGCACTCGACGACCCAATCGGCACTCGCTGACCGGCTGTCAACTCGATCGACTCCGCACAGCTCGCTAGACGAGGCACACTCTCGATACTAACTAACTTGCACTCTAGACGAGGCACACACACACTGACTGACTGCGGACAAGCAGGGTTTATATAGCTTTCGGCTTGTGTTCGAGAACATTCTGGGCTAAACCGGTAAGAATTCATTCCAGAAGGTTCTATATCCGCCCATGGTATATCGCCAATTTTGTTGCCAAATGGACGATTTCTCGCCAAATGTGGCAACCCTGCTTTCCCCTTGCCATTTTATGGCAACCCTAAAACTGCTTTGCGGGGAAGCTATCTCACCGCGCCTGGACATTTCGTAACACAGCCCCCTCCCAAAGACTGCACGTCCCGGGCAGTACAACCCTTGGTCAGAAGCATAATTCGATACAAACAAAACGTAAGAAAACAAACAAATAACATAACTAAAGAAACAATAATTTACACTATGTACAAGTTATATACACAAATTAAACACATAATTTTAAATTATACAAATTAAAATTCTGAATGAATTTCAGTCTCAGTCTATTCATTATGTTATACCCGGGTCAAATATTTTTCCACTGCAGTTCTCAGATGCATTTCTTATTTGCATATCACAATCTGAAGATATAGTCCTTTCAGATTTATCATCCACAGGAAGATGTGAAACAGTTTGTTCACTACTCTGTAGTTCATTCGCAGCATGCATACAGTTCACCTCGGTACTTTTTGCAGCTGGTACATACTCGTTTCCCCCCATTTCCTGCGAACCAGCTTCAAATTTTGCATCAGACTCATGAACGGAACCCGATTCTTTACAAACAGAAGCATCCTGTTTTAGAATCAAGTCCTTGTCTGCACAATAACCACTATGGAGACGAACACATAATTTGCGAGGTGAGTGAATTTTCTTGCAATATTGGAGCACACTATTTAAGTTGTACATCAGCGTCTCCCATTTCTGCATCACATGCACTTTCATATGGTTCAACACTTGCTGACTGCGTTTTCATAACTTCATTATCAGTTTCTAGGAACTTGATAGTCGCATTTTCATTTTCTTCTATCTCTACTTCAGGCACGTGAGAATCAAAAATCTTCTTTCCTGTCTTTTATTTCTTCATGATTTCGTTCTTTTTCTTTAATCCCGTTAGATATTTCATCCATCATTTCTGGATCTTAAACTTCATTAGCTACTTCATTCATTTCTTCATCTTTTGATTCTTCAGAAGCCACTTCTCTCATATCCACATCTTCTTTTATGGCTCCAGTTTCTTCTATAAGCTCCACTTTTATCTGTGGGAGTTGCTTTCGCACCTTTTCTCGGCCGACATTTATTTCTTCCCGTCCGGCGTTCTTCTCTTCCAGTGTGGCTTTGATCTCAGCTGTCATCTCTTTTTAGTCCAGCTATTGATCTCATCATATCCGGCTTTTATCTCAGCACATTTGGCTTTTAACTCTTTCATCACTTCCTGTTCGGCTTTCATTTTAGCTTTCATCTCTTCCTGTCCTGTCTTCTCTCTTTCAGTTCAGCTTTGAACTCGGCTAAAAGGTCCATCAAAGTCTTCGTTTCGTCCGCCATGTCTTTCCTCTGCAGGCAGATCATTGGCATCTACTCGCAAATCTCACCTCTGACAACAGTCGTTACGTTTTTCTTTCTTCTGACACCAATTGTTACGTTATTATCTTCCTTCACGTTCTTGCGGGGTTCGTGTGGATTTGGAGTGAATAACGACGACACTTGATGAAGTATCGAAACACACTTTATTGGCCAGTATTGTCAGGACAGCTCCAAAACACATTTTTGCAGTCGTCGAGGATCTACTATAAACACGCTTACACAATCAGCACAGCTTTAAGGTTATCAAGCTATCACGGTAGAGACAGCTTCACTGCAAAGCACCAGAGTTCAGCTCCCGACGCTGCTTGGTCATTCTCGGAACTCCACGTACTCTGGACACTCTCCAAGCTACAACTCGCGATGCACTCGACGACACACAGAGCACGGCTCCCGACTATTAGGTTCAGTCGTTCCCGGAGGCGTAATGGCAGACCGCACATTGAGTTGAACAGTGTTAAACGAATGTCACATACTGCGTATGCCCAGAAAAAAATTTGGCGTAATTATTATGTTGGCGCGATTTGAAAAGAAGATAAATACGGTATATGGTAGATGTACCGCCGTCTGATTGTAAACAAATTTGGCGTTTATATCTTCGTAGAGTATATGTGCAGTGTAAAGTAATTACTGTGTTAAAATAAGATTTGGTACTTTTCCGTTTCGCCGGCGCAAACGATAAAGTCGCCAATAATGGTTTAACTGATGCCAGACGAAATATCTTCGCTGGTAACCTTTTACGCCTCAGTTTCAAAACAAGTTGAAGCCAATTCTTATCAGATTGTTTCTTTCAATACTGGCATATAGAATTTTTACACGATATTTAAATTTTATCCCCTAAGACAATTCATGGTAATAAGTCAATTAGTTCTAAGTCAATTAGAACGCAATTACACCGCTAATCCGAAGGCGAAATCAAGTGTTAAATTCATCAATTCTAATGAGAATGCACTAGCGAAGTAAAGCACTGCGGTTTTACATAATTTCTGAGTAAGCTATTCGTATGAATTGAAATAATTCTTGCATTTAAACTTGTATTCCAAATTAAGATTTAACTTGAAATTAATGTAGATAATTACTGAGAGAATTAGATTTTTGTAGCGTAGTTTACGTGAGATAAGATCACTTGGGGTCACGTGATACGAACCGGCGAATCAGGATTTTGAACCATGAAATCATAGTAAATTCTTAAATTAATGTCTTTTTACAAATTTATTGTCTTTATTTATTGGCTTTTTACAAAATTTTAAACCATATTAAAATGTTTATGCCTTCAAAATAAAAAAAATTCTTAGAATTAACATTTTTTATGTGTATACTGTATGCTGTCGCCAACAAAGTCTGCTTGGCGAGATTTGCGCCGGCGAAACGGAAAAGTACCTAAGATTTTTTTCCTGAACTGCTCCAACAACTGGAAAGTTGAATGATACGATAAAGTATAAATTCGATTAAAGAGTGCAAAAAATGGGTAAAGGAAGTCAGCTTAAATACAGGATTTACCATACGTTCCATTCGTACATACGTAAAGAAACACGGAGGAATATAGCAAGTGTTTGTACATAACATTGAAGAAATTTTACAATTCCTTAATGCTGTTTATTTAATTCTTTGAAATAAGAAAACGAAAGCGGAATATACGTTAACAAACTTAGCGAGAAAATCCAGTTTACAATTACTGAATTATAACATGTAAACAAATTACATCTAAATAACGAATTATTACGCACAACGTATGTTAACAAATATTAAATGCACTGTTATTGACAAACTAAAATAAAGAAAAATAGGCAAGTGCAATCGTTATGGAGGTTAAAATAACTAATAAACAAAGTTCCACAACATTGCAGTTGTACACATCACTCGACAGCCATGGAAATCACGAATAAGCTAGCGTAGGGTTGCTTAGTCGCCAATATTTCGCCCCGCGCCAAAGGTACACCATCAAGCATGCGCAGTAAGCGAAATTCGCTTAACAGTGTTCAACTCAATGTGCGATCTGCCATTACGCTTCCCGGAGCTTAACACGCTCTCTCAACGATGCACTAACTGCGATACACTAAGAGACTCCTTCGATGAGCTCGACGACCCACTCGGCAATCGCTGCCTGGCTGTCAACTCGATCGACTCCGTAGGGACTCGTTAGACAAGACACCAACTCGATACTGACTATCTCGCACTTTACGAGGCACTCTCACTCGACCTCTCGAAGAAACACACACACACTCTGACTACGGACTAGCAGGGTTTATATAGCTTTCGGCTTGTGTTCGAAAACATTCTGGGCTAAACCGGTAAGAATTCGTTCCAGAAGGTTCTCCATCCGTCCATGGCATATCACCAATTTTGTCGCCAAATGGGCGATTTTACGCCAAATGTGGCAACTTTGCCCTTCTCCAAATGTGGCAAATTTCGCCAAATGTGGCAACTGCCATTTTATGACAACCCTAAAACTGCTTTGCGGAGAAGCCATGTTACCGCACCTGTACATTTCGTAACAATATCAAGAATGCACCCGGCAAAGCTAGCGTTTCGGTAGGCGGCCTTTAAGTTTTATTAGGCAAAAACTCAGTCCTCTACCTTCACCGAAAGAGGCAATCCTAACTTATAGTTACAAGGCCGATCACTGTGTTATAAATCGCCTGCTTTATGTGTTATGGATCGCCTGCATGCGTTAGTTGCTATTTTATGTTTCGGTCACCAAATCAACCTTCATAAAGTAGTTCAAAATAAGATACTGCAGACTATCAAAGTAGCTCACTTCTACGTCTAAGCTGCTGTACAAATACTTAAAAACTGACTACATTGAGGATTACCTGCATAAGTACAACGAAAGATGCTTTACCAAAAGAATGAACTGCATCAAAGTAGCCTAAAAAAGCGGCCGCGTGATAGCCAGAATCTCTGATCCTCTCTGACTAAGACTAGAACTTCATGGTTAAATACCGCTCTTCCTCCATTTGCATTCAAACGTGATTTTAAAACTACGTTCTGGCCAGAAGTTGTAAGTTGAAATTAAAAAATGATTGGAAAGGAAGTTTAACTCAAAATTTAACTGTTAGATAAATTAATATAATCCTTACAAGGTGTTAGCATAAATTAGGT